AGCAAGGGCCGTAGTTGTTTAATGCTAGCTTCAGGGTTGACCACAGCCTTTACTTCTGTCAGCTGAAGGGGTGTAGTATTTATTCCCCAACAAGTAAACTGTACACCCATGGGTGGTAAACCCCCATTCAATTGTACAGGCAACGGGGTGTGATGCTGGACTCGTGGGGTTACATCTGCAAGCAGGTCTGGCAGAGAGACCAAATCAGAGCAGACACTGAGACAGATGGTGATTTTACACCAGCATGGAGGAAGAAATGGCTCTTTAACATCAAACCTCTGCACATTACTTTGAAACCAGCTGGCCAGAGACAAAAAGGGATTGTGAGTCTGGGGAAGCAGCCAGACTTTTAAGCACAGGTCTCAGAGAAATGGCAAACCATGCAGGCAAGATGGAAAGCAGCCCTTCCATACTATTTTCTAAGATGTCTGCATAATTATGATTTAATTTGCATGTTTGGGAGGATAGTGACTAAGCCAAATGATGAAAGGAAAGCAGACCAAGAAGAGAGATTAGTGTGCAAACAAACATTAAAACCCTTATTGTAGATGGAAATTAATCCATTTATCTCATTCTTCACTTGAATTTAAGCCTGCAAAACCAACAAAGGAAATAACTGCTTCACAGTCCACTAAAATACTTAACAACTATTAGCCTTCCTCCCTCTTTGTGGCTCTACAATCTTTGTATAGGCCTTTTACATCACATCACATCTTATCTGCCCTTGTTCATGCTATCTCTGCACTCTACATCCAGCAACTGAAGTGACTTTATATTATTATTCAATGTAAATGTCAGCACATGGTCAAAAACTGAAAGAGATGAGGGTGCTAAAAGTGAGTCTGATGAAGATGTCCTGGTTGATGCCTTGATGCCTGAGGGCAATGGCTGTCACATGAAATGCTTATGCGTTTCAACACATGCCAGTTCCCTGTTTCAGATGCAGAAGAACAAATCGATATTACTGTATGCAATTAGGATGAATGTCAATCATCAATTTTGCTAAAACATGCTAATGTCTGAATTGCTCTAGTTGGAAAGGTTTAGAGAACTTCTTATTTTTTACGATTGTGAGTACTTGAAAGCATATTTAGAGCAAACATTGTAGTTAAAGGGGACTGTTACCATGGCAAAACTGTAGTTAGGCATTTATTTGTTGCTTCCGATTGAAAAGCATTGCATTAATTTATAAAAAGTTCAAACACTGTATTAAAGTTGTGAGGGTGATGGTTTCATAGTTAGTGAGTACATTCTTATTTTCCATAACTGCGCAAATAAATGCACTCGGTGCTTTGAAAGGTAAAATGCTTCTCCATTCTCAAGGTCTCAGTGATATTCATCTGTTTAATGACCTATCACGCCTCATTTTCATCATTCCATTTGTTGCAGGAGAAGGTAAGTGGTGTTGCTCAGGTTAAGCACCTTATAATGTCAGTGGTCATTTTTAAACGCCAGCTAAAGACACATCTTTTTAGATTAGCTTTTTATTAGCAACCCCCCACTTTAAATCTTCTTTTAGTCTTTATTATTTACCTACCTTTATATTGTTTTATTTATTTTATAGGTCTTAATCTTTTTCTTTCTGTTGTACCTAAGTGTATATGCTCACTGGGGTTTTATATTTTATATTGTTGCATCGACTCACTTGTCTTGTGTCTTATCTGTCAGAGAGAAACCATTATTTATTGTATTTGTATTATCATACATTGTACCTCCTTGTGTCTATTAACCTGATAACATGTTATATGTTGCTGCATGTACCTTTTAAAGTTCTTAACAAATAATCTGAGGGGAATTTCTTGTTGTTTGTTTTTAACTTATGATGTGTCATTTTGTAAAGCACTTTGAGCTGCATGTGTTGTATGAAAAGTGCTATATGAATAAAGCTTTATTATAAACAAGCATATATTCTATTTCTACATCAGATCTCCTCAAGGCTTATGCCAACACTGAACACTATGGCCCGAGGCTTTGAACTACAAAAAAAAAGGTCAAAGATATGACTTTGCTAGAAAACCTCACCAAAGATGATTGGGCTCTTTTACACGTTGGGTCAAAATGAGTCATTGGTCAGTCATGTTAGTAACTTCCCTTTTGTAACACTAATGAATCAGGTAAGACAGCATGTAAACATTGCTTAACTATTGCCTTGAAAGATTGTTAGCAAATATATGTCTGTTGATATGAACTTTCACGATCAATGTGACAACAACCAAAGGCTTCGTATTTCCGCACCGTTGCATGTTCTATCGACCACCCGGCACCGTGTCCTAACAAGAAGGATCTGCACGAGTCATCCAGTGAGATCAACAGCCAGTCACTGATCAGCACTCATCACACCCTTCTGTCTATGATCTAAAGATTTGTGTCATTATTGGCTGATTTCTATAGTTTTCATAATGCATTTGTTCTCCTCTGTTCTACCACACTTCATGTTCCAGAAAAGATGACTCTTTTTCATGTTACCTGTTTGTATATACACAACTTTAAAATGATTTAGGAGGTGTCATGAATACCAATATATGCATGACTTTCTCTGAGAGGCACATTACACTAAAAAGATAACACAGCACAGAGTACAACGCACTGATGCAAGCTTCAACCACAAAACTAAAGATCAACAAAATCCTTCTTTGGAGACACATACCATGAACCGTGGTCAGTCCTGCTCCCTGAAAGAATAGTCAGAGAACTCGGGGGTCTGCCAAGAGAAAATGAACAGAAGAACCAACCCTGTCCATGTGTACTGTCAGCTGTGGGAATGCAGACACAGTGAGAGCTAACAGAGATAATAGGATCACGGGTGTCCATCTGGCCTCATCCCAACACAGGCTACAGGCTATAAATAACACCTCAATAGCTAATACTGTTGATTCACTAATTCAGTCCCTGCTAGGGTTTATTTAGAGCACTCGTGCAACCAAAGGAAAATAAATGAAGGGGCTTGTTATAAGTGATTTTAATTTGATGGTTTATGCAGGAATATTACAACAACAACCTTTTGAGTATGTTTCCCCCCCCCTACAAAAATAAATATGCCATTTATAATTGTATATTGCCAACTGATTTAAAACAACAGTGACTCAGCAGTTTTGATTTAGATGATCGAAATAACAATTAACAATGCCTATATTTTCCTATAGAAAGAATATGATCAGTAACACTGCACTGTAACTTGTATTCATGTACCTTTGTTATTCATGTTTTATTATCTTTGTTTTTAAATGAGTGATTTTAGATGCCATTGTATAATATGTTTCTTAATGCTCCTAATGTCTTTCATTTTTGTAAAGCACTTTGAATAGCCTTGTGTTGAAAGGTGCTATATAAATAAACTTGCCTTGAAAAACGGGTCAACTGTTTGGAGGAAGGAGGCTAAAATAAGAGTGGGCTAAGGGGATCAAAGAAGTAGATTGAATATCAGCACTGATCTTTCAAAATAAGATGTATTCAGGTGTAAGCAATAACTAAACAAAGATAGAAATGTGACTTGCTCTTCCTGGAGTGCTGAGTTGTATGGGTTAGAATTAACATACTTTGCTGAAAGTCTAACTTTAAATAACTGCAAACAAAACTAAGTATATGACGACTCATCTATCTCCATCACAGCTGAGCAAATTGAGACAAAAAATGTATTTCAAATGCTGTTTAAAGCCCCAGAAAAGGGTAGTCAGTGCATCACACATTATATTTGGTCTTTATACCTGACAGATTCTTCACTCTGTAATTTTACTATAGTTGTTTGCTGTCTAATCCGTGTGTTTGGGATTCCTCCCTCCCTCCTCCGGTGTTCCAGGGTTTACCTTTTTTCCTGCTGAAGGATTACTTTAAAGTTATTTCTTATCCAAACTGAGCACTTATGTAAAGATTGTTTTGTTAATTGTACAGATTGTAAAGCTCTATGAAGCAAACATGCTTTTAGTCATATTGGGCTAGCGTAAATACAAATAAAAACATTAAAAAATGTTATACCTTTCTGTAAACTTTCACTGTCAATGTGTTCTTTTCACTGAATTTAAATGGACACATATTTCACCAAAACTGATAGAAGAGCTCTTCGAAGCACAGAAAACATTAAAGAGGTCCTTATTAAGAGAGAAAGAAGTATATCCCAGTTGCAATTGCACGGCACCCAATAGTATCTTCTGGTGAGCAGAAGCTGTCATTTCTGCAAACATCACTATGCTTTCAGAGACAACGACCTGCTTATGTTGTTGAGAACCGTCATTAAAAGGGTTTCAAACAAATGAAAAGTGTCAAAATGCTCTCCTTTTGCCAGCCACATCAATGTCACTCCTCACTGTCATCTCCAATGCCACGCACAGATACACACTCCTATCACCACAGACACACAGACACTCAAATTAATTCTTAAGCATGTGACAGTCAGTAATCCCAAAGGTGCATCACCTGAGACAGGATGAGAGGAAGAGACACAACGAGACAGGGAGGAGTCATTCTGTGCGAGGCAGTTGATCTGCAATGCTGCTACTGTAGAGTCTTTGGTGTGTGCATGTCAAATGCCAGTGCCCTCCATAGGAATACGATAACGAGGGCTGTGCACAGAGGGAATGCCAAATGAGATATCAGAGCACAGCACTGAGCCATTTAATAAGACATGGATGGAAAGACATAGGGTGTCATCAGAGTATTTCCTGCAAAAGTCCAATGATGATGTGTTCGAAGCTGAAGTGTGTTTGGCATCCAGTTAAAGCAAGCATCATATTTAAACCTGAGATTAAAGATAGTTCCCTGATTTTGTTTCGGTGATTGATAGTGTCATCACATGTCCACCAATACACATTTGATGTATTGAAACTCAACAGTGATTTATATGCAATTTATCATTATTCAACATTGACATTACTTTACCTTATATAGCAACACATCAGAGAGACATATACCAATACAAAGCATAAACGAATAAAGTCCACAGCAAAGATTGTAATTGAAAACTAACTTAAAAGCTGAATGAACTGAAAAATGTTGAATGTACTCACAGTTTTGGAAGTTAGGCTGCTACTTTGATGGAACTGAGAAATGTGGGGGCAATGCAACCCCAACAGGCTTCATGATGTCTGCAGCTGCAACATCACAGGAAACCTATGATAGAAGTTGCTGGTAAAAAAAAAAGAAGAAAATATTTGCCAATCAATTTAACGAGGCTCATAACTTGTCGATTTGTTATACATTTAAGACTATTGTTCATTGAAAAGTAGATACATGTAAAATGAATGCATTTACCATAAGATACTCATACTGCAATGTGAGGTACAGTAGTGACTGTGTTAGGGCCTCCTCTTGTCTCATTTTGACATGTCATGGCAGAGAAACCACAGGTGTAACTAATTACATTAATTATGGCCTTGCTCTATTAATCTGCCAGTTGGATATGACAGCGAGCCAGCATGCACCAGCAACTCCAGAATCATTGCAGTGATGCAGCCCTCGTTAATGTTATTAATTACACAGTGTTTGACATGACACCATTTCAACTTCCAAGATAGTTAAATGCAACGTTAAAATTAGCTTCCCTTTCGTACCGTAAACAAAGAACTTAAAAATAAATGATTTGTCTTATTGGTGTGCTAGTTGTTTTGTCCATGCTAACCTGAACGTTAACAACCGTAACGTAAGTCCTTTAGGACGGCTAATATTTACAGACTTTTGGGACAAATTAAGTTTACAAAGTAAAAGTACTAAGTTAGTCTGTCACTAAATTTTCAGCTTTACCTGGACACATGTTGATGTTGACGGTAACTCCTGACTAGCCAAAATCACTCAGACAAACGAGATGAGCTAACTCCTACTGGTCAACCTCAGACCTTTAACAAAATAAAGGCATCCTAGATCATTTTCAATGAAAATATCCATTAAAAACGGATGGGAAACTTTTATTTTGAAAATGTCCAGCGGCTGCATACTTTACTTTGTGGCCAACATTTAATAACATTAATCATATCATGTTTAAAAAAAGTATATAAATCATATGAAATATTTTTATAGCAGTATTTTTTCCCGGGTCTTGTTTCATTATTAGATTGGGGTCACATGTACCCGAATCTCTAGAGCCAAAAAGTGTAGGTATAAAAACGTATATCTTTTCACACAAACATAAAGCAGACTAGTTTCTGAGCCTCGTGGTATGTGCCCATTAGAGTATAAAAACAAATGTAGAATGTAACATCGTAGGTGAGTTTGACATAATACAAAATAAAGTTAGCAAATGTATCTTAATTCACTGTTTCCTATGGAAGTTTGCTTTAAAGGGGCTAATAAATATGGTCTCGAAGTGAAATAACTCTACAGTTCCCAACAGCTCATTTATCTCCTCCTCCTTCAACCTTCTGTCAGATGAAAGAGACTTAGAAAAACACTAATCATCTAGCCCCTTAAGAATAAGCCTAAAAGCGTTGTATGGTATCAAGTTGAGAGCTTGAAGGGAAAACAGAAAAGAATCGGAGTGTTTACAGCACAAGTGGGAGAAAAAAAGAAGGAAAGGGGTAGAAAATTCACCCAATCCTACTTTCAAGCACTGTCTACCCTTTTTCATGAAAAATTAGCTGTGATACTTCTGAAATTGCAAATCATAGGTTACTGTGTATGAATGTATGCGTGTTTGTGTGTGCGTGTGTGTGCGTGCGTGCGTGTGTGTGTGTCTAAGAGCAACAAATTAAGACAAGAGAACACATGCTGGGCCAGAAGATGCATTTTTGCATTTTAAATTGATGCAAAAGTCAGCAAGTCCCAGGTGTCACCTAGTGGTGTGTATCCCAAAGGTGGGGTAGGTAAGTTTGAGAAACCGGCTTGAGATACACTTTTTGTTATATTCCATGGAATGCTCTTAACATCCCGATAGCAATGAATATCTTAAGTGCTTTGACAAAAAATCCATAATAAAATGTCATCTGTGGAAGCCGTAATACTGTAAAAAGCACGACCAATTATTTTTAGCCGGATGGCCTACCTGCCTGTCAGCCTTCCATCTGTGCACAAACTTATCTCGTGCCCTCATTGGTCATGTGCGCGTTCGTGTGTTGGAGGAGGGGCTCTGTAAGAAAGTGGCAGATTTTTTCCGGCTGTGTATTTTCAAATTCTAGCGCACTCGAGCTGGTTTCTCCAAAATTACCTACCCCACCTTTAACTTTCAAAATACCTTTTATAAACAAAGAAAAAGGAGGAGAGTAATCATAGCTTATGTTCACATACTTTTAATTTCGTATAAAACAATAACTAATATTAAAACAATTCCTTAGAAAAAGTTTTGATCATCTTAACCCATACAGTAAGGACCCACCTTGACACGGGTGTCACATGAACTTTAAATGTTCTGGAAAGTTCCTTATACAGCTTTAGCCTTTATTTGATCTCATGAAGTCCCTAAGTGACACACACTGAACAGTCTGGTGGGTCATGGTCCAGGACATTTGATGTTGTGTTCCCATAACAACATGTCCAAGATGTCCATGTGCTTTTGTTGCTAAAGGTCAAATTCAAGCCATTTAAGAATTAAAATGCTTACATAACATGTCCTTTATTACATTTAACCTGTTGTGGAAACATTTATTGATCAATTGATATGAAACAAATGAGACAAACATCGCTGTGACACTGGTGTCACATCGGGACTTTACCCCTAAACTTTCACAGTAAACCCAAAGTGACATATATGCACAATTAGAAATATTATTATGATCTGCTCAGTTAATTTAGCTGATTCAATTATATTGAGTTGATATGTTCTTATTCTTCAATTCAAAGAATGTTCAAACTAATTTAAACCAAAAAATCCTCCTCATTAATTAAGTTAAAAATAAGAGTTATTTTACCATTAAAGCCCAATGTGACATATATGTCACATTTCAGATATTTGACACTAGGGGGGGTTTCTTGTCAGAAATGTGTTCCAGGTGGTCTATTTGTCTAAATTATGTTCCCCTTAATTTTCCCAAAAGTAGAAATGGGTCCGGGTTCTTATGGGTTAAATTAGCCAGGAATTTCATTCAACTATAAATTCCAGAGATGCTCATTTATAACATGTTATTTCTGTGTTTCTGTGACATCACAGTCCTCCCACAAACCAGTAAATTGAACTCACAAGCGGTGTGAAGTTTGTGAAGTTAGCACAGTAGAAAACAATGGCCTGCACTCCCAGAAGAAAAAGGACAATGCCATTCTCTTTCTTCCTGCCAACCAGAGCAGAACAATGAGCATAACTGACCTTAACTAGAGATGTGGTCCGAGGGTTATGAAAGGGTCACATATAAAGGATGGGCTTTGATTCTTCCTTTGATTATAATTCTCCCTGGGTCTGAAGGCAGCCTGCAATGAGGTGGGCTGTAAGAGAATATGATGCTGTTTAAACCCTATAAAGACAGAAGCACAATGTCCTTATAAATGGCTAATTGAAATGATTGAAACGCACTCTCTGTAATTTATTAGCGTATCATGCTCAGTTGAACTCTGGCTTCACGAGGCAGCAGAGGGGAGAGGTTGGCTCTCTGAGCTGGTGGCTGCTAACCGGTGGGTCAGTGTATGGAGACAGATGGCTGTGTTGCCCCACTGTTAGCCTTGGCAGCAAAACCTCAACATAGATATGAGATGTGGCAAACTGGTCCTTTGCTGCCCACTAAGATACATGGGACCACTAACACAAACACACAAACAAAACCCTCCTCTGTTCCGCCTTGGCAGGAGCAACCCTTTGGGCAGACAAACAGTCCACCGCAACCCCTCAACTCTCCTTCCTCTCTTTTCCCCGGTTGTTTCTCTGCCATCTCTCAGGACCTCTTCTGGACTGTTGCCAGGCAAGCGCTGGAAAAGCCCTTTTACAGCATTAGAAAAAGACAGGAAAGTAGTGAAGGCAGCAAGAGGTAAAGGTGTGGTGGCAAAAAAGGCCCTGAGTAAGGAAATAAAAAAAGAGTAAATAAAATGCTGAAAACCCACTATATAATACACAAGTTACATGGACGGAGTAAGGCGAAAGCACTTAATCAAACATGGTAAATTAATTAATTAAATAGTATGGAAGTTTGTATGAGACAACAGAACATCTGACATTAGGAATTTTATTTTGGAAATTATTTAGACAAATAGTCTTTTAAGATATTATTGTGTGATGTTTATTTTTTAACAACCCCAATGCACCCTTAACCATACAGCCTGTACCTGACTAAATGTACCACTGACTAAAATAAAAGCTGAGAAAAGAGGTGTTGGAGGCGTTTCACAGTTAATTCAGCAAAGTTATTCAGATGATATCCCACACATGATTCTTAGGACAACTTTCAGTTGTTGTGAAAGTTTTAATAAATTAAAATTATTAATAAACACAAAGCCCTGTTTCTTAGGCACTTATGATTAAAACTATAAGCACCAAGCAGTCATTACTTTGGGTTAATGTTGTGTGTGTTTTAATGGAGGGGCTACCATTTCATTGCCATTAGGGTAATAGACTGTGCCTTTCCCTCTATTTGTACACTGTCAAATAATAACAATATTCAGGAAAATGAGTGTCATTTATGTCAGGGAATAATTTCGCCCTACATGTTTACCTTTTGCCCTCTGACCAACCTTGATCAGCCGTTATCTCCCATAAGGAGGGGCTGCCCAAGCATTTTGTTGTTGTTACCAGTTTATGGCAGGGCAACTCTCGGTGAGAGATAGTTATTGTTGTGGGACACCTGGAACACATCCTTCTCGGGGTGTAGATGACCCCGAGCCATAAGCGACAACAAATGTGATTCAGTGTCCTCAGCTGTTTAGTCTATCTATTGAAGAATGTTGATTATTACACTCTGAACTAGTTAAAACCTCGAGCTACAGGAGGGTTCTTCAGAATTTATGTGGCATCTCAACCTGTCTTGTGAATTCTCCGGCCGAAGCTCCAAATAAACCGTCAGTGTTTGCCATCAAAGCTCCAGCTCTCCTCGTGTCTCTCTGAGTCCTGTTTCCAATTGCTTCAGAAGTTTCCCCCACAAATTGGCGTTGTCGGCAGGATACCAACAAATCTTCAGAACTGGTAAGTTTAATTTCAAATCCACATTTGGACAT